CAAGGGCAATTTCAATCAAGGGCACATGCCCGGGTTGCGGCCTCAATCCCTGGTAGGGAGCGTGCAGGAGGCAGCCGGTCAATGATTCTCTCTCATCATTGATGTTTCTATCTCTCTCCCTCTCCCTTCCTCTCTGAAATCAATAAAAATATATATTTTTTAAAAAAGGAAAAGCAATTCAATGTTACAAAGGATATTACCTTTAAAAAAATCGTATTGTACCCATGTTATTGGCTCACTAGTAAGTTTGACAAGTGCCTGGGGAAGCTGGGTGGAGGGTACGAGCTCTCTGCCCGGCCCCTGCAGTTCTAAAGAGTCCTCGAGGGGAAGGGGGATTCTCTAGGGGAGACTGCGACCCGGACTCTCCTCGAGGCCCCCGTGAGCCTTGCCTTGTATGAGGAAGGCTGCAAAGTCCCCTCCGTGAGAGATGTCCATCTTCATGCAGATGGTTTGCTTGTTGGTGTCATCCTGAAACAGAGAGAGGCTGCTAGAGCCAGGCCGCCCGCTGACCGAGAGGGGGCCTGCGGGGGCTGGCCTGTCCCCCCCCCCCCACGTTCACAGAAACCCTTCCAAGCTGGGGGCACAGAGAGATGCCTCTCTGTGGACACGTGTTTGTATTTCTCTGGGGTCAAAGCCTAGGAATGTGACTGATGAGCGATCGGTTCAACTTTATATCTCAGATATGTTTCCCAGTCTGTCTGTGGATTTTTTGTTTTCTTTTTTTTTTTTTTTTAATATATTTTTATTGGGTGTGTCTGGCCGTCTCGCTCTGTCCTGATCAGCTGGACCCCAGCAGCAAACTAACCTACCGGTCGGAGCGTCTTCCCCCTGGTGGTCAGTGTACATCATAGCAAGTGGTTGAGCAGCCTTAGTACATCATTATCATATTACACTTTGATTGGTTGAATGGATGACTGGACACTTAGCATATTAGGCTTTTATTACATAGGATACTTTCTTTGCCCTGGGACCCATCAGTAACATTTTGTACAAGATAAACTGCAATTAGAAATCTACCCTGAGCAATACTGTCTCTTTTGTGGATTCATTAATCTTAAAAAATAAAAAGAGCCCACATTCTGAGAACCTACATGCAGGCAGTGTGTGGGAACGAGGGATGCACGGGTAAGACGTGCCCCTGCCCTCAGGGAGCCTACATCCCGGGGAAGAAGCCACCATGTAAACAAGCAAGGCTGCGGGAGAGAAAACGCAAAGGAAATTCTGTTCTGTACGGTGGTGGCACAGAGGAGGGAGAGTATTTAGAGAGCTGGCCTGGAGGCACGGGAGAAATTTAAGAGGCACGCACAGTAGGTAGGGAGGCAGGGGGAGTCCTCCAAGCACAGGGAACAGCATGGGCCGGGGAACAGGATGTGAGGCGGCCCGGAAGTTTTAGGGACTCATGAGGAGTTATCGGATATGTTGGGCTGGACCGGAGTTCCTTCGTAATTCTCTCCTCTCAACCACATGTAATAAGTCCAAGGTATTCAGCTCCCACCTCTCATGGTCCGGGAACCTTTAAATTGACTACTTTGGAGAAGGCTGTTGGACCAGGGAGGTGTCTCTTTCTTACTATTCTAGGACAGCTGTCATTGCCTCCATCTTAAATTTAATTTAATTTTATTTCTTGTTAATCCTCACCCAAGGATATTTTTCCCGTTGATTTTTTAAAAATATATTTTATTGATTTTTTACAGAGAGGAAGGGAGAGAGATAGAGAGTTAGCAACATCGATCAGCTGCCTCCTGCACACCCCCTACTGGGGATGTGCCCGCAACCAAGGTACATGCCCTTGACCGGAATCAAACCTGGGACCCCCTAGTCCGCAGGCCGATGCTCCATCCACTGAGCCAAACCGGTTAGGGCATTTCCCATTGATTTTAAGAGAGAGTGGAAGGGAGAGGGAGAGACACACACAGAGAAATTGATTGGTTGCCTCTTGCACGTGCCCCCACCGAAGCCAGGGATTGATTCTGCAACCGAGGTGCGTGCCCTGGACCGGAATCAAACCTATGACTCTTCCTTCATTCCACAGGCCGGTGCTCTAACCACTGAGCAAACTGGCTAGGGCTTAGTACATTTTTCCGAGTTTTATTTATTGATTTTTTCAGAGAGAGAGAGGAAAGGAGAGAGAACCATCGCTTTGGTCCCACCTATGTATGCATTCTTTGGCTGATTCTTGTACGTGCCCTGATCGGGGATCGCACCCTGAACCTTGGTGTATCGCCTGGCGCTCTAACCCACTGAGCTACTCGGCCAGGGCCTCGCCTCCACCTTAAGAGTGAACCTGATTGGCTACCGCGTGCGGCCCCGCTCTAGGAACTTACCACTTTCAATTGATGGTTTTGA